TTCTCCTTCTTCTCTCTCTCTCTCTCTCTCTCTCTCTTCTTCTCTCGTCAACCATTCTCTTTGTTTAAGCAGTCTCTCTTGAAAATTTTAGAGGGGGTTGGGGCATGGTGGTTGTGGGTGTCTTGTTGTTCTCTCTCGTCAACCAGTCTCATGGTTTCTCTCACTCAAAAAGCGTTTTATGGAACCCCGGACCTTCATTTTGCTTTGGGCTGCCCTCAAGTATAAGGCTGCCTCCTAGGCACCGCTTTATCACCTTTTAAAACACTAAATACACTGATCATGATAATGATGACCTTGTTAATAGTCCATGATGGTGATGGTATGGTGATACATGATGATTAATGTATCATGTTTGGATAAATAGGCAGTAGGAGATTTGGGCTATAGACTGCTACTAACTCATTCTTTTAGTGGTCTTTTGGTAACATTTTACAGAATTTGTGAAGTTTGATTATGAAAACTGGAATAGTTGTTGTTTAATTATGTGCACAACAAACTCACATTAGCTTCCTTTTAGTGGGCATTTATGGAGTCACTACTGTATGCTTGGAAGAGTAAAGTTCCAAAGGTCCCAAATTATCATATGGCCACCCATATGTTCATTTGAGCTAACTTTGCTAGCTTGCGGTCAACCTGTACGCAAGGTAGAATCAGTTTTGGTTTCTAATTTCTCCTGAGAAAAGTTTTATAACTCAGATTGGACCTATGATTCAGTCTGTTCCTGAGCCAAGTGGGTTTGCTGAATCGTGATATGACTTGGGGTAAGTTTCTATAGTTCTTTAAAATTTCAAAAATCTAAAACACACAAACATGGAAAAAACATGTATAGTGGAGAAAGATATTTCCTTGCTCATTTGGATGTTTCTTTGGTTTTGATTATTCTATTATTTTCTTTTGTCATGCGAAGGTTTATTATACCACATGCAACATTATAAAGTAAAAACATGACTAAATTTGAATTTCGATTATCCTTAAAAGTTTTAGCAACTCAGTTTTCCATCCATGATACTGGGTTACTTGGTTTATAACCTTTTGAGAACTTTCATGGTCTTTTTTTTTCTTTTTATTAGGATTGGTGACATTAACTTATGTGTAAAATATGGTTATGAAAACCCAGGGGATGCGGATATAGGCACCCCATATGATAGAATAAAAAATTGAGTATCAACATATCAAGTATCCAGTACTTCTAGTTGCTCAATAGTGAGGATGATTCTCGTGAATCAACTGGAACTGTTTAGTTGTGCTTGTAGTCCTTAGAGGAACCCCTTTGGCTAAGAGTGTTAAGGGCAATGTGCTACAGTTTGGAAGTCCCATTTTAGCTGCAAACGAAAAGATCCAGTTAGTGCACACTTTCTTCATAATTAAAGTGCACCGTGTTCCGAAGTTTCTTATCCATTAGCTCATGATAATTGTTATCCTCAGAGTGCACATGAGGTTTGTAGATACTTTTTAAGTCTTTATGGTTCCATTAAGAGTTTATTCCCAGAGTAGGCATGGGTTCCTCATGCCTCTTTTTATTTAAAGAGAGGTACATAAACTTTGGATTGTTGTTTGATGCCTTCGATGTTTCATTTTCTTGTGGATTCAATCTTTCTTGTCCCCTGGACAACCGCTAGAGCATTGATTGGAAGGGTTGGCTTTTATCATTATCATGCTGTTCACAAGTTGTCATTCCTCCCTTCTTCACAAGTTTCTTTGTCATAGTGATGCAGCGTACAATACTGCTCTTGAGCCTAGATAAGAAAGAAAGCTTAAAGTTTACAAGCGGAACCTCAGAAGAGAGAAATAGTCATTGAATATGTCCTTTTTATGTCTCTTATTTATTTATTGAGGCATTTTATTCACTAGGGGTGTAAGTTGTAATTTCTGGATTTTTATTTTTTTTATTATTCATTTAAGGTCTTATATTAAATGGCAATGATTAAATTAGTTGGATGACCAGGATTAGTTTTTGTTTAAGGTTTTTTGATATAAGAGATGTACTCAAGCATAATGAAGCATCTTGTTATGGACTTTATTCAAAACCCTAGAGAAGCAAGTGCTCCTTTTTTCTCTAGTTTTTAATTTTTCTCTAATTTTGGATCTTCCCTATCTTCTTCTTTACTAAATTCTAGCTCCAAGCTACCAGGCCTGCACCATACAATTTCAACTTTTTGTTTCCTATGATTCTTCTTGTGGTCCTGCCTGCATAGAATGTCAAAGTCATCAGTTTTATAGTTCTTTCGTCCTCTACTGAATGAAGAACATGAAATTCAAGTTTTAGGGTTATTTGTTCTTAATATGTATCATCTTAAAAAGCATGCCACCTTTTCCTCCTACCATTTTGTGTTGACTTGTATCTTCTTTTTTTTAGAAAAGTTAACATTTGTATTGCTATAAAGAGTTGGAGTACAATTTTGTGATTTGTGTTTACTTTTATCATCTATCATGTTGGGCAGGCCCATGGGGGTGATCTCAACGGGGCTGTGAATGCATACTTCAATGAAGGAGAACAAAGACCTAGGTAGGTGGATCGCGTTCCCCACCACCCACCACCCTTCGTGTGTGTGCGCATGTATAACTTTGCTATTGGCTATGGATGAAGTGGAAATTCGTTTTTGGCTATGGAGGAGCATGTGTATGTTTGTGAAGTAAAAATTTGTTTTAGGATATTTAAGGGTTTGTGAGTGGATATTTTCTTCTTATTAACATGTTAAGCTTTCATTGTCCAGCACGCGGCCAACAAGCGCTGCTGCCGATGAAAATGATTTCATGGATACAGATGATCCAATCCAAATTTTTGAGCCTCAGCGACTTCCTGGACCATTTCCTGCAACAAGTTTAAACCCACTTTCACTTCTTGACCGAGAATTCCCGAGAAATATATATGATAGCATATTTGATGGGAGAGGTCCAATGGGTGGTATGCCACGTGTTTCCCATCCTAGGGAGGTGAGAGAGATCCAAATAGATTTTAAGGATGGAGATAACCAATCTGGACCTTCTGGGGCTACACCCGCTGTTGAGGATGTTACTGGAAGTGTGGATTTACCTGGCCCAGAGATTCGTGGCAGAGTTACAATTGATGATGATGAAGAAGATGTGGATCCCCCAACTACTGGTTCAACTTTACACACTTCTGGTCATAATGGAAGAAATGCAGATGGTTCTGATGTTGAGATTTATGAGCGTCAGCCAGGACTGAATGCACCACAAGATGATGTGAGAGATGATGGTCTTGATATAGAAGAAGAAATGTTGCAAGCTGCAATTGAGGCTTCAAAACGTGAAGCCACAGAATCATATAAGAAGCAACAGGTTGGCATTTATAATATATATGTAATGCAACTAAAATTTTGAAGTTTTTATGCCATTTGTTATTTGCATAAACTTCAAATCTTTTAGTGCCGATATGCTCTTGTTATGCTTTTGATCATTTATGTGCAGGGCTCTTCTAATCACCAAGGTCTTATGGAACTTGCCTGCTGCTTCTTTTTAACTTTTGTGACACTTAGCCCCGTTTTTATTTTTTACACTATTGATTATTTACCAACTTTAGACCGCAGAACAAGAGAAGACTTTGCGTGAACATGGTGCGTTTAATGGAATTCTAGATCTTGAGAAAAATTTAGATGGGTTTCATCATGACGTAGTGGAAAGATTCTCATCAAATGGAAGGTAACTTTCTGCTGTTGCTTTTCAGTACTATATATTTATGCTAGTTTGTTGTTTACCTAAAGATTCTGAGAGACCTCCTTATTTTTTGTTTCTTATATGTGGGTCTCCTCGATGGCTAAAGCCAAGGGTATGGTTCATCATCTAAAGAGGAATCATCGGATCGAGCTAAGATGGAAGCAGGCAATCCATTGGTCCAAGATGAAGCTGATGATGTAGAGGAAGTACCACTTGTAAGGCACAGGCCAAGGCATTCAACTCATACAACTACAGAAACTGCCACTGATGTTGGTCACGTGTCCAATAGTCCACCTTCAAGTCCTGGGCCACAAAGCATCTCTAGTCATCCCCAGCATGATTTCCAAAATGATGAGGTGCTGCACATTGTCCTTTAAGTTTGATATGACATTTTTTATTAGTTGTTTTTTGATGGAATATTCTCCTTAGAGGTGTGATAAACCATAATCCAATGGACTGCCTAAAACCATTGTCCATTTCATTTCCTCACTGCGTGCTGAAATGATGGATAGTGAGAGTGGGAACCTCCGAAGCAAGTCACCCCAATGGTGGTCCCACTCACTCTGCTTCACCGCCCATCATTTCATTGGGTGGTGATGATGCTAATACACTACATAGTCCATTGGATTATAATTTATAGTTTCCCTAGTGTTAATTCATGATATTGGGTCTGTGAATTTGTTGTTAGTGGGGTGGCATATCTTCTGAGGAGCATGACGAAGCTGTGATGCTCGAGGCTGCAATGTTTGGTGTCCCTGAAGATGCTGGGTATCGATTTTCCTATCCCAGACGGATAGTTCGACCACCTTCACCTACTTTAGCAGCACAACGTTTACTAAGGGAGCAACAAGTTTGTTTTCCTTTCCTTTCCTTTTCCCTTGGGGTTTAGTTAGTTGCTCTAGCCACCATGTTCATACTGAATAATGTGCACTCAAAACATTGACTATTACGTAAAACAAATTGTTTAGGACGATGAGTATCTTGCATCACTCCAAGCCGACCAAGAGAAAGAACTAAAGGCAAAGCAAGAAGCTGAGCTCCGTTGTCAGGAAGAGGCAGCTGCTCGAGAAGCTGCTCTTGAAAGACAAAGACAGGAGCTAGAGGATGCTCATAGGAAATTACTTGAGGAAGAGGTAGCCTTAACTTTTGTTGGAGTTATAACATTGTTATCATATGCTCTAGATGAAACCTACAAACAACTGCAATCTAAAAAGACTTTAATATTCCATTTATGGTGCCTTGGTTTTCTTGTTCTAGTGAATTAAAACATCCAAAAAGGCTGCTTGCATTGTTATCTTACAAAATGACATAGTTACTTACCCCAAAAAAAAAAAATGACAGTTGAACATTCGATTTTTTATTTTGTAATAATTCCTTAGTTGGTAGGAAATTCCATTTTAATCTACCCATTCTTTTATTAAGTAATATTACTGATTTGTTACCAATTATTAGTTGTGATTTATGTATGCCAAAAGATGTCATGCTCCAGAGCGAGTATACTGTTCATTTACTCCCTCGTGTAAAACCCAATGTAAGATTAACTTTAGGATCTCAAATTTTGGGGATGTCTCCTCTTCAAATCATAGACTAATCTCAATAGAAAAAATTTCCAAGCACTCTATATGGGTTTGAAAATAGTAATGTCTCAAGATTGAACAAAGGCCATCCAATTTTTGGAGGGTGAGATCTAAGTATTAGAAAACTCAGAATTCAATTTATTTATGTATTTTAAATAAATCTAGTGATCTTAGGTGGTTCCCAAATTTTCAGATCAAAACAATTCTCCCAAGTGGGTATTCTAACTGAGGGAGTAGATGTACATATGCTCCTGCAGGAGCATAGTATACACGCTTTTTATACATTTTGGTGTTTTTGTTGAAAGTACAAAATCAGAGCTCAAGAAGGCTTATTGGAACTTATTCATTTCGGGCTAGGGACTAAATCAACTACTCTAGTTTTCTCCTTGTGTATATTTAATGTTGGAGTTTTGTGGCCTTTCAAGGCCTTGACACCATTGTAGTCAAATTTATTTATAAAGGAATTTCTTGGGTCCAGTCGGAGCATGGTTCTAAAATGGACCGGGATGAAGCTTAGGCCAATTTGTTATGAGGCAAATTATGCTTGCTCATCAGGTGTGCCTAACGCACATGTGACTCACCAGGTCTAAGTGGTCTAGAACCCAGATTGGTGGGTAGAATCAACAAAACCTTTTAGCAATTAGGAATAAGACCAAACTGGGGAAGGTTGTGGAGTCAGCTAGCCCATATTGAGGTGGGAGAGATTGCCAATGGCGTTTGGTAGGAATACGTACTCCCTAATGGGGTTGGCGGCTTGTGAGGGCAAGAGCAAAAATCCTCAACATTTCTGCTGCACATCCTACAGGATGTGCATATGATAGTTGTGATTCTAGAAAGCCTCCTTCTTGGGGAGAACGTGCACATGTGTCTAAGAAAGAACCCTAGTACCGTTGTGTTTTGGTGCACATACTCGAATTGGTGGACTTGTCCCTGGGGGACACCTGAAGTCTAGTATCTCTATGATTCCGCCACCTATTGGCTGCCTTTGATGCATGTACCCCTATTTACGACTAACGAGACTGTGGATCATTGGTTTCGCTGGGTCGGTTTGAGAATGTGATTCGAGAATTACGTGGTAAACCAGTAGAGTGCCTTACTATAGTTAAAAATCTGAACCCAAGGTGCCTATTTGGAAATGATTTCTAGTAAGAGAGCATTGCAAAATCGTCTCATCAGGCATAGAGCTAATAATATCCATGGGAGTTGAGTCAAGGTTCTTCAAAGGTGAATTTTGTGGGGTTTCAAGAAGCTCAGCTCACAACTAGTAGGGATAGAATAAGAATAACAAAAAATAATAATATTGCAGTTTACCGTTTACAGTCCTAACTTGAATGGATAATGTCCAAAATGCAGTTCTTAGAAGATATTATTGCAGCAAACTATAAGTTAAGATGGAATTCGAATCATAGGAGAATTAGGGTTTGGATGATTAAGGGATTAAGGTGTAATCGTAACCCTTGATTCATGATAGCTGATCAATGATTGATGACTTGATTTGAAGCCTCTCTTCACCCCATAGATCAACATGATCAGATTGTATTCTCCCCCAAGAAGGACCTTCTTGATTCCAAGGAAATTCTAGTTTTATTTAGCTTTAATGTTAGTGATTGGATTAGGTAAAGAGAAATACGCTAAGCTCTCTTGGAGAGCAATTAAGAGAGAAACCCTAACTAACTTCCATGATTCCCCCAACTAACTTCAATGCATTCAAATCTCTGTGATATGTATCCCACATGCTTAAGTGTTCACTTTTACATGTGGTTCAAAGATGTAGTCATAAGTGCCCCCCCTCTGATCCCCCTCTGAACCTAATTACAAACTTACCCTCTACAAAAGCTGCATTATTACAGACTTAGGAAAGTGCAGGTAAGGGGGAGAGATGATGGTGTCATCATGAATGGGTTCATTGTGGCTGGTGCACATGGGCCGCTATGGGCCCATGTGCACCTCGTGAGTTACATGGGTGCATCTAAGCACACTCATTGGGCAAGCATAATTTACTCATCTTGGATAGGCCTTAGCCTTATTCTGTTCCCCTTCAGGGTGAGCCAAGAAAGTCCACAAAACTCCAACAGATTTGTTGACAACTATTGGTTGAGATTTATGTATTTGGGTGCTTCCTTTGGAAGCCATTTCAGGCTAAGGGTATAGGTCAACTCCTCTAGTTAGCTCACTGTGTATTACTTTTAATGTGCTCTCATCTTAATTCTTATTCTCTGTATTCATGAGTCATTCACAATCTTCCTCCAATGTATAAGCTGCTACAGCCGGCATCTATGGAGAACATGGCATGTATGGGACTATATTGCCAAATGAACCTGCTGGATGTCTCTAGGATGGGATTTGGACACAAATGGAGACTTTGGATTAGAGGAAGCTTTCGGATCCTTACTTCCCAATACTAATCAATGGAGCACCAAAGGATTTTTTCCATCCTCGTGAGGTCTTCACCAAGGAGATTCTTGGTCGCCCTTGCTATTTGCCTTGGTGGCTGTAGTTTTCAGCAGATTTATTGATAGGTTTTACCTACAAGGCCGAGTGGAGGGCTTCAGTGTTGGATCTCAGGGTCCTGTTATTTTGCATTGAGTATGCAGATGACACTTGTCTTCTGCTGGGCTGACGGGCAGCAAATGGACATGCTGTGGCTTTACCTCAGATGCTTCAAGTTGCCTATAGGGCTCAAGGTAAGTTTAGTCAAATTTAAACTCATGGCAGTGGTTTCTGACTGCCCTTCTATGTTAGCCTTGGCTAGCAGGCTGGGTTGTGGGGTTGAACCCCTCCCCACCTTGAGTTGCCCTTGTGCATTGGTAAACCAATGAAACATCTGTGGGACCCTATTATCCAGAGGTTTGATCGCAAACTTGCTGCATGGAAAGGCAGGTTTCTCTCTTTTGTAGGCTGGCAGCATAACTTTGATCAGGGCCACTCTCAAATCTACCTTTTTCTCAAATGTCTCTCTTCTAGATGCTGGCCTCTATAGATACTACACTTGAAAATCTCATGAGGAGTGGAAGTGGTGGTGGAGCCTTGCTACTCAAGAAAATCATTTGTGGCAAGCTGTAGTGAGACACAAATACCATATAGACCCATACCCTTTGGCTGCCCAATGCGAACTCAACTTCTCGGCCTTCAAGAGTTTGGCTATCTATATCGGCAAATCTTAATCCTTTCAAAGCCAACACTCGGTTCAGACCTAGATGGGGTGATAGGGGGTAAGTTCTGGTATGATTTGTGAATTGGGCGTATCCCTTTTCAATCAACATTCCATTGTCGATTCCTTTTGTCCACCGACCGAGAAGCTACTGTAGCCCAATGTTTTGAAACCTTGGGGGGTCAAGAGTGTGGTGCCCAAATTTCAGGAGGGCACTACAGGACCAGGAACTGCGAGAATTTGCCTCCCTCTCGGCCCTCATCACTCTACTTCGTTTCTAGCTACTGTGGCCAACAAAATCATCTGGTCCCCTTCACCCCCAGGGGTATTCACTGTTTCCTCTTTCTACCACAGCCTTCGCCAATCCACCGTCACCCCTTTCTTCCTTCATTGCCCCAGCAAGTTGAGCGCTCAACCCAAGACCCCCAAAATCCAATCTTTCTGCTGGATTGCGATTCTCATGAAAGCACTTATGGTAGATCATCTACAAAAAAGAGGCATCTCTCTCCCTAATAGACGCATCATGTGCAAAGCTGCTTATGAACCCAATTCCCACCTTTTTCTATACTGAAGTGGCTAGACTTGTGGGCAGAGCTGTTGCAATCCTTCCATTGGATGTGGGTGCTACCTCAATCAACTCTGCAGCCATTCCAAGCCTTTGCCTTGCCACCTTTCCAGCAGCGGGTGTTTTTCTTTGGCGAGCCTCAATGGCTGTAACAGTTTGGGTCCTTCAGACGATACACAAATCTTTGAGGACAAGAGAGCCATGATAGTCGAGCGAGTCAAAGCTATGACTATTTCTTGGACCAAGCTCCAACAAACCCTCAGAAACTTCTCTTCGGCAGATTTCCTCAAAAATTGGTTTCAAATCGTTGAGGCCTTGCCACTTCAGATCCCTTGGTCCTCTCTTTGGAGACCTTCTAACAATGGCCAAATCAAGCTCAATTTCGACAGTTGCTCGCTTGGCAAACCCGGTCATGTTGCTTTTGGAGATCTCTTTAGAGAGCACAATCCCAACACCCTCTTAAGCTTTTCAGGTCATAATTGGCTATGCCAAATTCACCTTGGCGGAAGCTTTGGCCCTCCTTGGAGTATCAAGAGATTCAACCATGCATGGGGGAATCATTTGGTGATTTGAAAGGTTTCAAAACATGTAATCATGTGGGCCTTGGGTGCCTCAGCCTATTGTTTTTTTTTTTGATAAAGTTAACCTTTGTATTGATGAAAAGTTGGTACAAAAGAGAAAAACCCAACAATTTGGTGCCCTACACAAGAACCTTAAGGGTGCCAAAAAATGGATCCCTCTAAGGGGTTAAATACAACAGGAGATATAGGGGAGATAGAGAGGGAGAGAGGGGGGGAGTTATGGAAGTTGGGGGCCTGCAGCTGCTAGGTTGTGCAATGAGGCTCCATCTATGGCAAGTGCATCAGCTTCGGAGTTTGCTTCTCTGAGGGTGTGGTTTCACGATATTTGAAGGGATGAGCAACGGAAAAAGATTTCATCGACTAGATATTGCAGTCTCCAATCTATCACATTACGGTTCTCCCCTTCCACCAATAGGGAGGGTTTCCAAGAAGGGCCGAAAACTCGTAACCCTTCTAAAAGGGCTCTTGCCTCTGCTACTGTGGAGTCTGTTACCCCGATATTTTTGGAGTATAATTGAACAATATTGTCCTCTGTGTCGCGAAAGAGGTCCCCACCCCCTGACGGGCCCGGATTGCCCAAACAAACTTGAGTTTAATCTGGTCTGGATTGGGGGAACGGCACAAGGAGGATCTGGAAGGTCTATGGGGGCGTAGGGTGAGAATGGCTGGCCAGCTCTGATGGAAGTCCGAGGTAGAGCAATGGTTAAAAAGTTGGCTGGTTCTGGCCCAGCTAATAATAGAAGATTTGAGGGAGTCTGAGAGGGATTCAAGTGATTTGCTCTTGCCTTGAAAAATCCCGTTGTTTCTTTCAATCCATAGGGTTCACAGGAGTCCGGGGACTGCTGGTCGCCAAAGGATTAAACCTGGTTTGGGCCATGGAGGGGAGCACAGATGCTGGAAAATCTGTGGGACAGATTGCGGGGTAACCCACTACCATCCACAGAGTCTCAATATGACTGCCCATAAAGCCAAGGCTAGAGGGCAATGGATGAAGAGGTGAGGGTTTGTTTCTTCGTCATTGCGGCACAAAATACAATGGTTTGGTAGTTGGAGACCTCGATGTTGGAGTTGGTCCACAGTTATGGTTCTTTCGGAGCACACTAACCACGTAAGCCACCTGACTTTAGGGGGAGCGAGGTTAGACCATGCCCTGGCTGCAACTGATGGGTTAAGGACGATGGCTTGGGCTTGGAGGTCTTGGTAAAAGGAAGAATCTGAGAAGCTTCCTGAGGGGGGTGAATATACCTGCATGGATGGGAATATGCCTACTGCCACCTATTGTTAGAGACTTGAACATATTTTTGAGCATATTCCCATCTATGCAGGCATATTCAGACCTCCTATTGACATATGTGGCAGTAGGCCAACTCTATCTGACGCCTTCACCAGAGGAGGAGTGAGAGTGACCGACCACACCGGAATCATTTTGGTGCCTTATTTTCTAGCCTGGTTTTCAGTATTTTTTTACTCTCTTCTGATTGTTTGAGCTACTTAGTTCTTTGTAAAGAGTGCTCTTATTAGCACCATTTTTGTATAATCAACTATTGTGAGCTTCTGTGCTGTGGGTTGCCACAATTTTTTGAAATCCTTAAGTAATAATAATACAACATTACTATTTCAAAAATAAAATAAAATAAAACCTTTCGTAGGTATGCTCTTGGTTTGAGTCAGCCATGGTGAACTTCCCATTCAAGTTCCATAGGCAGTCTTTGAGTGTTTCCTGTTTGCTCCAAACGAAACAGGCGGCGTATAATTTCATTGAAAAGGAGCTATTACGCTGAAAAAGACCTTGGTCTCCCTCTATACAAAAAGCATTCCATAATGGTGACAACAGAGTAAGTTTTCTATCATTCTTTAGTTGTTACATTCGATGAATTACTCTTCTGGGAGAATGTGATAATACCAGGGCATTGAGGAAGGTGCCTTCTGAGTCATGGTTACCACAGTACCTGCATAGGCCTGAGATCTGATTGTAGCTCCTATAGCAGATTGTAGAAAACTGGGCTTTCAAAACTGACTATAATGTCAAGCCACAACCAGAAGCATATTTCATACCGTTATTCTTGGGCTCACAAAAGCACGCAGGTAAAATGCAATGCCACAGAGAGAGCCATTAAATAGTTTAGGGTGTGTAGTGGGATTGGTGTATGAAATATGAATACTGTTAGTTTAAGTAATCCAGTGAATTGGAGCCTCTAGGGATTTTTCCCTGGCTCTTAACAAGCTAATTTGATCTAGATATCTGTGTCAAACTGCTGTGTGCTTTGTCAAAGAGCGTTGGCACTTGTAATTGGAAAATGGACTTGTTGATCGTGTTATTTATCAATGGACCTGCTTTACAGAGAGTTTTGTGAACTTTGTTATTTCCATTAGTTTGATTGGTATTATTAAGAAGTGTGTTTTTACTACTACTACTACGAAGTCTATATGACAATAGAATTGCTTTACCAAAATCAAGGGCATGGAGATGTCAAGGCAGACTCGAGTAGGACTTGCTAAGGTCCTGGTCCCGATTTACCCTGTGGGACTCGAGAGAGTCTGAGTTGGACTGGGAGCTTTTAATAAAAAAATATAGAAAAATACTAAAGAAGGGGAAACTTGGGCGATTCCAAGGTTTTCTTGCCCTGAATCATCTGGCTCCCAATCCAGTCGAACTTGGGTGATTTCCAAGTTGCGCTGGCAGTTTTTAATCACAAGATTTGGCTTCTAAGTCTGTAAAAATTGTCTAGACCGCCGTGGTTGATTGTCTAAATATTGTTTCATGGTCTGAATCAGGTTATGAAGTGTTTCCTTCATGCACTTTTTCTCTTAAAACAAGTACTTTTAAGTGCCAGGCAAGAAGTTCTGATTTTTCATAAATGAGCAAATGAAACTGTTCTAGTAGCCTGCACTCTCATGTTTCTTTTGCAAGAGATGTACCAATCTGAAAAGGAAAAAGGAAGCATTTCTCTAAACAATCACTATTTCCCCTACAAATTCTCACATTTTTTTCTACCAACTACAGGAGCTTGAGAGACAACTTGCGGCAAAAGAAGCCTCCCTACCCCAGGAACCGCCAGCTGACAATGAGAATGCCATTACACTCCTTGTGAGGATGCCTGATGGCAGTCGCCGTGGTCGTCGTTTTCTGATGGCCGACAAGCTTCAGGTAATGAACTTTTATGGGGCAAAATTAACCCCCGACCACCCCCCTCCCCCATAGAAAAAACATCGCCCTTGTATGTGTGTGTGCACTTGTATGCGTATGCGTGTGTGTGTATGAATTGTTAAGTGACATTTTCCTTTTGCACATCCCTGGATTTTCATTTTGCAGTCCCTTTTTGACTTCATCGATGTTGGCAGAGGGGTAAAGCCCAACACTTACAGACTGGTAAATGTTTTCACTATGCCCTGTCTATTATTCCTCAGTGTTTTCTTGTGATTTCTACAGACTATTCTTTGACCAAAGCAATACATGAACCAACAAGACTCATCATCATCATGATGCATGATGAGTCTGGTTGGTTCTTGTACTCATCATCATCATGATGAGTCTCGTTGGTTCATGTATTGTTTTGGTCAAAGACCTCAATTCTTTCAATGCCACACCTTGCATATACCACTGAACTGCATGAAGTTCATATAAAATTGATAGGAACAGAAACAAATTAGCCTAAAAATATAAATCCATCTCAGATTTTTTAAAATTTACCAAGAGTTCAATTGCGGGAATCCTGATGATTGTCTTTGTAACATAAAGAATGTAAAAATTCTGCATTGTGATTGAGTAGGCCTTTCTGAAAAATAATGTAAATATATTACTTTTGGGAATTACTGCTTGGTTGAAACCCTTCTTCTTCTTCCTTTTTTTTTTTCCCCTTTAAGAGAGAAGGGGAAATGTTGGTGTTCAAGTGACTATCAGTATTTCAGCCTTCAGTTTTTGACAGAAATTAAATCCAACTAAAAGAATATAACCCAGCAAGTTTATGTGAAGTTTTTATACCCATCAAATACTTTTAAGCAAAAAGAATTTTGCATCTTTTTCCCTATGTAACAACATGTCTGTCACATGCTTTTAGGAGAATCCGACATGCCAACTAATTAAACACGCATGACACACATACTGACATGGGATATGCATTTTCCTGTGTGCAAATTTTCATTTTTTGATCGTGGGTGTCACATGCCTGCTACATGGACATAGAATTCTATGGTTTGAACGAACAAGACTATGTCCCATCTTCAAGGACACTTGGGTCTGCATTGTATGACACTTGTCTGTTTTGTTAAGATCATCATCGTCGTTAGAGCATTTTCTCCAACTAATTGGGGTTGGCAACATGAATCCTAATCTGTCATTCTGCTTTATTAAGTGTCATACCCTCAGTGAGGACTTATGACCTTCAGTAAGGCCATAAGTCCCCATATGTTTTCTCGCTATTTCCAACTATATGTCTTATTAAGATACAAGTATAGATGTGTCTATGTTTTGGACATGTCTTTGATTTGAATGCTCGTGTTCCATTTCTAAGCTGATTTGTTAATTACTACGAAAAATTAGAAAGTCACTTGTACAGATGTGCTCTGCTGGATTTTGTAAAAAGGAGAGTACGTATATTGTTGGACATAGATTCTTGTATGTGTCCTTGTCTTGTATGTGTCCTTGTAACATAGCTTCACTCTAACACCCAATCCTTTTCTAACAGGTGAGGCCATACCCTCGACGGGCATTCAGCGATGGGGAGAAAGGCCTATCCTTGAGTGAGGTTGGGCTCAGCAGTAAGCTGGAGGCACTGTTTTTGGAGTTGATTTAGCCACATTAGCTCATTCTATCATATAAAACAAAAGAGAAAAAGAATTAAAGACAACAGAAAACAAAGCAAAACAAAAGAGGTATTGTGTTAGGGACATTTCTTGTGGCTTGCTATTATATGGTGAGTGTTTGCAGTGCTGAGAATCCAAAACCCATTAATCAGAAGAAGTTTCCTCTTATGAGGCTGAAGTTTAGGGTAATGGTTTCTGCTCAATTCTATTGATTAATATAAATTCTACTGCCTTTGCCTAAAGAATGACCCTTTTCTGCAATTGTTTATTGTTTCTTTTGCCTAAAGGGTGACCCCTTCTGCAATGGTTATTGTTTGTTTTGCTTGAAAACTGATTACCCATTTGTTATGGATCACCGTATCATAAGATGTGGAATTCTGGCTATGGAATTTAGGCAAGTGCATGCTTTTTAGGACATTTGTTTTTCTTATTTTTATTTGACAAGAAATTATAGGAAATATAAATACTGGAAAAGTTGTAGCATGGTATGAAACAATGTGTTAAAACCCTGCAATTTTCGATCTGGATGGGAATTGGTCAAGGCCAAACTAGTTTCGGAATTGAATGAGTCCCCGCCCCATTCTCACAAAACCCCTTTATATACTTGTTTTTTTTTAATAAAAATAAATAAAGCTTATGTAATGTTTTTTTTAGGTGCCTTTCAAAATTCCCACGTCAAACTCTTATTTTAATTTTTATATTATTTTACTTGTTTTTTAATATTTTTTTGGATCATTGATTTAGACCGATCTAGATCCTGTTCTGACACAGATCTTGGGTGCGAATGATCCGCCCTATTGATGTGGTATGTTAAAGGCATGGATACGCATACCAGTGTCAAAAATCCTAATCCCATGGTTAGCTTTTTACATATGGAACATCCACGCTAGGACTGATAAATGGGTGGTCCTTGGACTTGATAGGTCAAACAAACCCAGTCAGGTGCTCAACTAGGTGGTCCAATTTGGATCCGCTTGACTTGGACCCAGCCAGACCGGCTTTCCCTGGGGATTGGATCTAGGTCGTGTGCAACTTGACCCCAGACCAGGTTGACCTTTAACCCTGCCAGGGTGGATCCTAGTCGAGGAGGACCGAACCCATTTACAAATCTGATACATCACTTGAAACACAACGATGGCCGGATTTGTAGTGGGACTAGATGTTTGTAGGTATGAGGGACGTCTGAAAGGGAAATTTATGAAAATACCTATGAGAGACGCACTATTTAGGGTTTTACACTCTTTAACAATATTCTAACTTTTGATCATTTGTCTTGGTATGGGTGTTTTGAAATTACAACTTTTGATCATTTGTCTTGGTATGGGTGTTTCGAAATTACAACTTTTGATCATTTGTCTTGGTATGGGTGTTTTGAAATTACATTAAACAATATGGGTACAATGTTAAGGTGTTTTGATCATGCTGAAATTATGGCTGTCTAATTCAAAGGTTGCATGATTGGTTTCAAAATTGCTTAGTGGCACTGATTGTGCTTTATTTGAAGACACTAGATATGAGAGTAAAAGATTGTAATGATATGAACTAAGTAAGTGCAGTTTCTATAGCCAGTCGATTGAGGAAACGTGTGGTGCATTTGTTAATGGTCAACTACTTAAAACTAAGTGCAAGGATTGATGAGGGCCAGGCTCATCGGGTTATGGATGGGCCGGACACATCTCGACCTTTAGTTCAAAAATGATTTGCACCGTTATTGAGGTAGTTTCGGCGCGATACTTGCTGTGAATTGCATAGTTACTCTAGACTAGTTCTCTCAATGGAATTGGGATATTTTGTCAGAGAATCAGGGATCACTTGAGCCGGGCAATTTTCATGGAAAATTATTTCAGTTAACCTAAAACTCCATCTTTATCAATTTATTTTCTTCATTTCTCATCCAAATTTTTTGAAATTTGTCTAATTTTTTTTGCTTTATAGCCTTCTACCTAACCTATTGCAATTTTCATTACAATTTAGATAGTGAAATGAATGTGTGGCTCAGATAGGAACCTAACTCCTAGTATTTAGGCGTTTTTTGTAAGCAATGAGATCATTTATCTTTAGTACAAGGTAGTCAAAATTAATCTTGACCATTGAATGTGAAATTAAATGGTTGCATTTATTCCATTGACCTAGGTCAAACTTCAAAAGAAATTTTTTCAAACGCTATGATACACCCAAACTATCAGATTTCACATTAGATGGTTGTACATAATTGTGACCACCTTATATAAAAGGCCAATGATCTCATTATATACAATCTCATAAGCCAAGGTCATGGAATCTCCATGAATCGGCCCCACATTTTTCCTTGAAATCAATGTTTTTAAACTTGAATCAGCCTGCAGAATCAGTCACTCGCTGGACCTATTCGGAATGGCGATCCGGACTAAATCAAATCAGTTTGGAAGGTTTACCCGTATAGACTACGTAATAGAAGAGTGAAAGGTTTCCAAAATTGACTAATATTTGTTTGTGAAAGAAATGGACCACTACATTACTTATTTTGATGATATTAAAGAAAGGGACATTGATTTAAAGGAAAAATGTGGGGGCCCATTGCATGACCCTGGCTTATTTAGACCCTTATTAACTTGGCTCATATGCGTGAGCGTGGGTTATGATATTATGAGAGAGAGAGCGCGCACTTTCAATGTCATAGGTCGGTAAAGAAAGGCGGATGCCATAATCCCGGAACCGTCAGTTTCTCAATTTGTGTGACAATGTCACACTAGCCCAAGACTCACAAGCAAATAGAAAGAAGAAGAAGAAGAACCAAGATGAAGTGGAAGAAAAACTTCATTAAAGGAAAACATGGGGTACACAAAGGCATTACAATCTCAACACAACCTTAACACATGTGGCCCCATTTTCTCACCACAGATCTCTTTTTAAAGGGTGCAGTTGGCATACAGATGCATCCGTAGGTGTAGAGGTAAGGTGCACCTTCAAATTTTATCATGGTACATAATTTTGATATAAGACGTTCTTATGATTATCTCAAAATCTATTTTTATATCTAATTATAAAATTATAAATTTAAAAAATGGTTAAAATCAAGTAGATCTATAAACAAATGAAAATCTTGAAAATTGACGGTGTAGATAATATGTTGTAAAATGCACTATTTATGAGACTTAAATCTTTTTATTTTTCATAGTCATACATCTCGATATCGAGATGATCAATCAAAGGGTTTTTCAACATTAAAACTACCTTTTCCGATGGATTTTTTAAGGGCATCCTAAGTTCTACATTTTAAGGTAGCATCCCTATATAAACTTTTTCCCTCTTTAAATAGAGGTACTTACAACTGTATTTCCTATAATAACTCTCCACTCACAACAATAACTACTAACTTACAACAATAACTACTAACCACCTAGTAGTTACATAACTTATTATTACATAAAATTACAAATTATAACATCACTACATCACTCATAATAAAATAACATAAAAATTAATATACTTTATAGAAAATACACTTTAACAATTTTAACACTAGGTGGGAGAAGTGGATATGTACAACTAGAGTTTTATTTGATCGCCGCATACCAATGAAGCTAAAGAGCAAATTTTACAAGAAAGTTGTAACCAACTTTGCTTTATGGGGCAGAATATTAGGCAGTCACAAAATAACATACCCATAGAATGAGTGTAGCAGAGATGAGGATGTTAAGATAAATAAGTGACAAGACGAGAAGTGAGAATTTGAAATGAATACATTCGGTAAAATTTAGGTGTGTCACCTGTTGGGTTGGTGATAGCTAAATCACCATACCCATATTTTATTCTACAGATTAGGGTAATATGGGAAATAAAAAATTGTTTTTCTTGGGAAGCAAGAAGATGACATCTTTATAAAAGAGTGAAAGATGACAAAATACACATCCTTTGAGGGTCACCCTTTTGGGGGTTATGATAATGGATCTCTAATATGGAGATGAGTATCCACGAGAAAGACATGGCCTTCGAGAGAGGGGCGGCATTCCCATGAGTTTTGGGTTGGTTAACTTCCACTTCTAGATAGAGAAAATCTCTATATTGCTCTCGAGGTTATCTTTCTAGTAGCAGTATTACGGTGGGAAAGAGGTTGGTTAACTTCCACTTCTAGATAGAGAAAATCTCTATATTGCTCTCGAGGTTATCTTTTCAGTAGCAGTATTACGGTGGGAAAGAGGATATTGATCGACGGTGTTGCTCGGTCGGGAGAGCAGGTTTAGAAGGGAAGATCGGTGATGGTCTTTTACTGATGTTTAGAGATATGTATTATCTCTTGTAACCCAAAATTGTAATATCCATTGTGATAGTGGATTTCTAGTTACCAAGGCCGTGGATGTAGCCCTATGGGGTGAACCACGTAAATCTTGTGTTGTTGTGGTGTGCTTTTTGTATTTGTTTTATTTCTCGCACTCGATTATAGTTGTATTCATCTACTTCGCATTTTGGCAATTGAGTACACGATCTTGGGTGAGATCCCAATATTTGGGATTCTTGGTTCCACAAGCTAGGGGTTCACGACAACCCTAAAGTATCAATAAGCGATAAGATGAGAGAAAGTAGACTCAGATGGGTTGGCCAGTGCAGACTCCGTACAACTTTTATAAGGAGGTGCAAGTTAGTTCAAATGGAAGCTTAAAAAAAAAGTAAAGACCCAAAAAGGCATAGTTGAAAATAGTGAGAAAATATATAAGAACTTATAGTCTCACTGAATATACGACTCTTAAATGAGCAAAATGATGAATTAGGATTTGTGTTGCTAACATGAATTAGTTGGAAAAAAAAGTAATGACAATAATGATGATAATGATGATGAGAGGGAGGACATCCTCCAAAAGTATAGAGAGGAGAGGATGAGTGTGATCCATTCATAGAGAGAGATGATATTTTTCCGAGAGAGAGATGACTTTCTTGAAAAGAGAAAAGGAAAATAGAGAGATGTGATTTCCTTGAAAAGAGAAGAGAGAGATGATTTTTTTGGAAATAGAAGAAAGAATAGAGAGAGGACTTTTTATTACTTTTTTTAATTAGAGAAGAAAGGAGAGAGAGAGAGAGAGGAGAGAGATGATTTTGTTGAAAAGAGAAGAAAGAAAATGGAAGGAAAAAAAAAAAGAGAAGAAAGAAAATGGAGGGTAAAAAAAGGGCAGTTGGCGGGGAATGCGATTTATTTTGAGTGATTAAAATTAACCAACTCTTGGATGCTTTCGGTAACTACAAAGACAAGTCGGCCCTTGCAACGTCAGAGAATGATGATTTTATTGAAAGGGAAAATAATTGGGGGTAGGGGGAGCTGAATCTGATTTATTGGAAGGGTAATATAGGAAAATGTTTATATAAGTTCAACCCTTGTATTACCTTTATATTCGAGTAAATGAGTAAAGGTGCGTTTCAAAAATCTTTTAGAAGAGAGTATTATGGTGTTAGAAAAGATTCCAATCTGATCATCTGGACCATAAGATATGTGGATATAATTAAACAATTTGATTTTTAAAAATAATGTATGTTGTAATAAATTAGTGTAGTTTGAATATTTCAAGTATCTATAAATTTACTAACCCAAAAAAAAAGTGTCAGTAGATCCGATTGATCTATACCCTTTTTGGTATTCTAAATCTCATAGTGATAAAAATAGATTTTCAAAACATTATAAGACAAAATAGGTTTTCAACACTGAAACTGCACCTCCAAGGCAAAATCAAGAATTGCGCTTGACTTCCACAGTATAAAGAGGGCACCTTATACAAACCTCACTTAAAAATAGAATTCGGTCCTTCTGACTTTTCTTCTTGTGGTTATAAAGGATTAAAGAACAAACGGGTGCAGTTTGAACCAGATCACAAGCCATATGATTTTAAGCCGAAAAAACCTCGAATAGCATGTTTCTTATTTTCTGTATTTTTTTTATTAAAAATGTCCCAGTCTGACTCATGTGAACTTGAGTCAGACCGATAAACATTGAAGAAAATTAATCACTAGTGAGTTTGATTAAGCCCATTCCATTAGTGGTGATTTTCCATTAGTAGCTCACTCTTATCCACTTTAGACTTGGGGGAAAAAATAATGGACAAAGGAAAAATCAGGATGGGAATAAGTAGAAAGAGAAGTAGTGCCTCTCATTAAGTAGATTCTCAAGGGAATTTTGGTTTGTTTTCCATAATGGTCTAGTTGATTTTTGCACTTTCAATGTGAAAAATCAAATATCATTGTCCTTAGTCAATCACAACCGTCAATGCAATTGAATAAGATTCCACTCTATTTGTCTTTTTCTTTTTGATAGTTTCATGTGAAGATGCTATGGTCAACCAAGTACAATGCTAGTTCCACTAACTGTGTTTTATTGTTTTCTTTGTTCCTAGTAGGATCCAGACTTGACCCGGAGGACTCGTGTTGAGTCCCCCGTCATTGGACCTGAGCCGTTGTGATGGGCATGGACTTGGTCTAGATTGAAGGAAAGTAAATCTATTATAATAAATATTTTTAAAATAATCCATCCCAGGGTACTGAGACTTGACCTAGCCTATTTGGGTCTTTTTTACATTATTTGGATATGGATCCAACCCGAATTTGGGTCAAGTGGAAACTCACTTATTTGCAATGGATAAGCTAACAAGATTTATATTTATTTTTGTACAAAATGGTCATAGGGAATGTATTGTTTCTGTAGTGAGAATTTTTTTTATAAACTTTGACCATGATCAATGGCACACTTCAACCTATTTAATTTCATTTTTCACAGCAAAAAATGGTTATGACATTTTCTATATCAAGAGTAAAAAATTTTATTATATACTTTCCTGATTTAAAATCTTCAAAATTTTAATTTTAATTTAAAATCTCCATAGGGGGCTTCATTTTCTTATTTTTCTTTCAATAAGTTTGAGAAATTAAAACCAAATAAGAAAGAAAAATAAACTCAATTGTGCTGTGAAATCATGATATATGAAGCTTCTCTTTTGTTTGGATAAATGATGAGTAATTAATGGTTTGCTTAGGTAAGAGCTGTTGTGGTGGCTGGTAAAGTGGGCCATGCATTCTCCTTGTTATATCACTCCACGTCTCTACAAACTTATTCGGACTTTCATTTTAGAGTCTCACATAGGCTTTATTTGTTATACCAGTCCTATTAATTTTTTTTATTTTTTTTTTGTAAGTTGACAAGTAATAGTGTTTTTTTTTTTTTTTTTTGGGATTAACGAGTAGTAGGAATCGTATTTAAGATGCAAAGTTGCTAATGTCAACTGCTAACCAATCAAGCCTAAGTTCCATTCCTAAGCTGACTACTCGTGAGACACCCTCCTTGATCAGACTGTGATTATTTGTTACTACACTCATGGAGTTTCATAAGTTCCATTCACATTTGATTTGATTTTCTTGTAGGGCACTTTGTGTCAATTATCTCTGATAAATATAAAATATCTTTGATGCTAATAATAGCTCTGATAATATCCTGATAAAATCAACTAATCACAATATTGAGTGCTGCCCATCATTATCATGATAAAATATTCTCCCAATAATAGTACAAATCGGAGCAACAAGATATTCATAAGGGATTGTATACAATGAGACTATTTATCTATTGTACAAGGTCACAATTGCTTATAACCATCCATTGTGAGACTTGATAGTTTGAGTGTCGAGAAAATTTCTTTTGAACTTTGTGCTTGGTCAATAGAATGAATGTAACCACCCAATTTCACATTCAAAAGTCAATATTAATTGTGAAAACCTTATACAACATGTAAATGATTTCATTGTATACTTTTCCTATTGATAATGGATATATAAGTTAGATAGTGGTTTTTTTATATTTTAATTTGTTATCCATTTAGAAATTATTGTAAAGTTTATCATTCAATAAAAAATTTATGTACTCATAATTTACATTTTGTATTATTGAAATTTATAATTTCCAATCTTAATAAAAGTATATTACATAATAAATACTATATTAATTTATTAAGGTCCCACTAATTATCCAAAAATTGCCAATAAAAGAGACAATAAGGATAATAGTTATAGAGCAAATAGAGCAACTTCATTCCTTACTATCAAAGAAAGAAAAAAGTTCGTTTATTTGTAGGAGGGCTTCCTCCCATTACATATCTTTTTATATAAGAAAAAGAAGAAACTACAAAGAAAACAAAAAAATCTAAATCTAAAGTTCACTGCGTATGTTCCACGCTTATTCACGGCTTTTTGCCTTCATGCACCTGTAAAATAAAAATAAAAAATAAAAAAAATATAATAATTATATATATCAAGTCCATAGTGAAATTTAGTGAAAGATCATAGCAAAATATGGGCCAACAGAGGGAGAACACAGTAATGGACGAGGCCATGAGAGAGAGCATAGCAAAATGAGAGAGTGCTTAGTAAAGGATGAGCCAATAAGAGAGAGCATAGGAAAGGATGACCAATAAGATAGAGAGAGAGTAGGAGCAAAGAATTCTATACATCTCTTAGTGTATAGAAGTTATATATATACTTTCAACCCGTCCAATTTAGATAAAGTGAGTCACTAATCGTTGAATCTAGATCTGACACCTCATAGTATTTTATATTTAATTCGTTTTCTATAGGTAATATGAATTTGAAATTTGGTACGTATCACTATCTCAAAGGGGTGCACCTAAAAAATAGGGAAATTATCAATAATGTACTTTGATTTTTGACAAATAAGAAAAACCACCATCAACTTTCATGAACCTCGACTACACCTTTTTTTCTCTTTTTTAGCATTTAAAATACTTCCCGTTATCACGGCATTTAAAATGCCGTATAAAATAGAGTAGTCATTATGGTACTTAAAGTACGGTAATGTTAGGGCTTCACAATAATACGACCACCGTGAATGGTATTTTGGTAAAAAAAAAAAATTTTAAAATTGAGGAAAAAATGTGTAGACGAGGTTTGTGAAAGTTGAGGGTTTTTTTTCAATTAGGCGAAAATAAAAATATATTTCTGATAATTTTCCAAAAAAAATATAACAATCAACGTATCTTTAAAACTTTTAAAGCTATTTTGATCATTTTATTTTATTACGAATTTTATTTCTATTATTTGCAAGTGCGATTTTAAGCGTTAAATGGCCGCTCAAAATTTAGTGTCAAAATATTTTTATAAAAAATAACACATAATAGCGGCATGAGATTGTGATTAGGTCTATCTCAGTCAATCATTCAAATCGAACGGCTAGATAAGTGGACTTTTTTCGAATAGAAAAGGGAAATTCATAGTAAAAATGAAACTGAACGAGCCAAATACCTAACGAGATCTCATTGTAGTGAAGAATGATAAAAAATGAGGCAATAGACTCTATATTAATGAAAATCACGGTTAACATTAAAAAATAAAATAAAAAATAAAAAATAAAAAAGAAAGGAAAAAAGGCAATAGATAGAGAGATCATAGTCAAAGACGTGTCAAATAATTAAAGAATGATCATAGTAGTAAAGAATGTGCCAAATACTCAAAAAGAGAGATCAAATAGTAAAGAATAAGAGAGAGAGAGAGAGAGAGAGAGAGAGAGGAGAATATTACAGACTTAACCAACTAAGAGAGAGGAGAGAATATTACAGACTTAACCAACTAAGAGAGAGGAAAGAGAGAATATTACAGACTTAACCAACTAAGAGAGAGGATAGAGAGAGAATATTACAGACTTAACCAACCAAGAGAGAGGAGAGAGATTACAATAGCAAAGAATGAGCCAAATGCATACATGAAGAGAGAGAAAGTACAGTAGAGAATGACCAAATTCTTATATAGAGAGAGAGACAGTAGAGAATGACCAAATGCTTAGAGAGAGAGATAATAGCAAAGAATGAGCCAAATGCATGTATGTAGAATGAGAGAGAGACTAGTGCAGAATGCGCCAACAACTTAATGTGAGAGAGATAAAATATTTATGCAGGGAGAGAGAGATTCCGATACCGCAATTGAGCGGCACGAGGTTGCAGGCACTCGGCAACCTCGAGACGATCCGGAGCGTCTCGCAGAGGCATCTCTGTTCAACCCCTTGGAGAGCCAAACAACACTCTTGGTTGGGAGCCACCTGAGATGCACCAGGCACCAAAAACCGAGCACACTGGTTCAGGCCGCTCAGCTGATTTGAGCAAGTGTTCTGCGCTTTACCATGGCCTAATGCCAAAGCCAAGACCACAAGAGCAATGGCCATGGCCTGCACATGAGTTCTAGTGAGAGAAATACTAGAGAGAGAAGACATCTTAGTAGTAGTGGTTCTAGTTCATGGCTCATACATGTATATATAGAGTTTTAGATAGAGAAATTCTAGAGAGAGAAGAAGGCATGGTCTCTTTCTCATGAACCACCTAAGCGATGTGAATATAAGAATTACTTTTATTTTTATTTTAATTTTTTTGCCTTTTTAATGTTTGGGCAAGGAGTGATTAAGAACTTGTAGGTATAGTAAGTCTTATTTTATTTTATTTCAGGCTTTCCACATGCTCTCTCTCTCTCTCTTTTACATGACCCCCTACCTCTGACTCTCTCTCTCAGAGGGAACCTTCTTTACATCGACCCCCCCTCCCACCACCTCTCTCTCAGAGGGACCTTTACATGACCCCCCTCTCTCTCTCTCTCTCTCTCTCTCTCTCTCTCTCTCTCTACTACTAACTACGTAACGTAACGTAACGTAACGTTACGTTACGTTAACCGTACCGTACCGTTACCGTTAACCGTTAACGTAACGTAACG